GGAGAAGCCGCGGAGGGGCCGCGGGCGGCGCGGAAGAGGCGGAAAGCAGATGGCGGCGGCCAGGGCCTGGGCCGCGAGGTGAGAGCCGAGCGCCCGGTGTGAGGAGCGCGGTGCGGGCCGTGCTTCCCTTACGGCCGCTTGTCGGCGGTGTTGCTGTGTCCCCCGTTGGGGTGCTGGGAGCTCAGCAAAGCCGTGTACACCGGCAGTGTACCGGGAGGGTAGGGTACAGCCAGTGCCTGCAGGTAGCATCATAGAATGTCCTGAGTTGATCCACAGGGCTCCTCGAGTCCAACTCTTGGCCTCTTGTCCAACAGGACACCCCAGCACAGACACACACCCACCGTGTGCCTGAGAGCATTGTCCAAACGCTTCTCGAACCTTCCCAGGTTTGGGGCCTTGACCGCTGCCCTGGGGAGCCTGTTGATGGCTTGGATTGTGCTGCAAGAGATGTAGAAAATAACTCATTTGGAGTGCTCCGCATTACATTTAAGAATTTTTGTTTAAAAAATATATACATTCTCCAATATAATCTTGTCATAAACAAAGCAGATCTTGAAAGGAGTGTTGTGTGTGCTCAGCACATGCACCCCTGGAGGATGCAGAGCAGCCCCACCTCACCCAGAGCACACTGAGTCAGTGCCCATGGCACAGGAGCTGGTGTGTCCAGCCTGTGAGATCAGGCCTGTTTGTACCCTAGAGACAAATTCCCGTGGTTGGCAGTACCCCCTCCTTGGTGAATCAAAACCTCTGCTCTTTGTGTGGGTTTTTCTGCAAAGCTTTAATTAGGCCGTAGTGAAAACAACGGTGTCATTACTTGTCTCAGCATGAGAGATGAGGCACTAGCAATTACACCAGCCTGTGCTATTATTGCCAGGTGATTCTTAAACACTGAAACCTCTCTTTAGCTTCCTTACCCACTGACAAATGTCTTGAAGAGCACACCAGCTCAGCCCCATGTGGGCAGGCTCTGTCCAAATTACTGAGCACACAGCATGTTAGTGTGCAGGGGAAAAGAACTTCCAGTGGTTATTCATGCTGTGAGGTTTTACATTCTCTAGTGTTGTGTGGTGTTTTTCCCCCTGTATGCCTTGATGTCTTTTTATCACCTATAAAAAGAGTATCTTTAAAATTTTTACAGGAGTTCTTTGGAACAGAACGTCTGATCAGTGGAGGTCACCAAAATGCCACATTTACTTGCTAATTAGTCTTTAGAAGAATTTGTGCATCTAGGCTTGAAGAACTTCTGTGTAGAACTGTGTGGCACAGTCCCCACCTCATCTCCTCATTGCTTGTTTTCTGCAGCTTCCTTGGATTTTACTGAAGCATTTTTCCCTGCAGGGGTCAGCAAACACTTCTGGCAGAGCAGATCCCACACTGTAGATAGAGAAAACCTCACATGGTATGAGTGGCTGTATGTAACACTTGTACAAATGTTTAAAGCTCTACAGGAGCAAGTAGGGGACAGGGTTGAGAGACCAGGATATTGTGTTGCATGTCAATTGTCTCCTTACTGCATACATCTTATGTTAATTTTTATTAAATGACTCTCTGAAGTTAGAGTACCTGGGTTACTGAAATCTTGATAAATGTAATACTAAAATGGGATCTGAAATGAAGCTTGTGTTTATAAAGAATGGAAGAGTTACTTTAAATGTAGCTTGAAGTATCCAAATAGTTTCTTTTTCCTTCTTTTTTCATGGACTGGTGTGATTACATGAAAGCTCTCTTTACCAGCTTTTCCCTTTCCACAGGAAAAGTCGTGTCATTTGTCAGCAGCTCTGCTTGGCGAGGACTCCGAAATCAGCCAGGACCACCTGTATGAGCTGCTGAAATATGCAGCTCTGGGGAAATGCCACAGTGCAGCACAGCCCAGGTACATCCACAGCTGCAATCAGCCTGGTCTCGTGTTCTCCCCTGGTGTGCAAACATTCCTAAAGGAATATTGGCCATGCTTTGGAATGCTTGTTGTGGAGTTGCCATAACCAGCAGCCTGGATTGTGCAGATACAGTTGTTGTTAGACTTGGCCAGAAAGCAGAATTCCTCTTCTGGCTGAAATCCTACCATTCCATAGTTTTGTTTCATGCAGTTTTGAAAAACTGTGTGTAAATGACTGCTGTGGAACTGAAGAAGCTTTACACACTGAGAAACAAAATACCCTGTTAAAATATTAACATAAATATTAATGCATTTCATGTTAGATATAATTGAAACAGAGTGCTCTAGAGCATTTTAGAAAAAACATATTTTAGTCACTTTTTCCTTTCACTGGGCCACTTCTCAGTACTGGAAGGGAAAGGTTGAGGAGGGCTTATAACCTTGAATGGCAAAAATGAATCTTCAAATGAAACTCAAAGCAGAAAATATCCCACTTTAGATTTTAATAGTGAGTAGAAAATTATTTTGTGGAACTTATTTTGATGCATTAATTCACCAGACTGCATCACTACAGTTGTTGCTGGTATATTCACATTCTGATGCATATGAATGAGGTATACGTGTCTTGAAATGGTATGGAGCAGAAATTTGCAATAACTCTTTCTCTGTCTGCTGTATTGTGTTGATTCCAGGAATATGTGGCTGTTTGAGATAAGCTGTAAAGCCTCTTCTTATTGAAGTAATTTGGCACTTTGCCATTTACTGACTTAAAAGCTGGGCTGGTTCCAACTTTTTTTAAGAGTGTTTGATAGATAATTGTTTTGCTTTGATTTTTATGTTTAGGGTTTGTTTTTTTTTTTAATTATTGCTCTTTTTTAACTGCAGCTGGTGCCATATTTATCACCAAAGCCACCTGGCTGGGGTTGTGGTTGTTGTTCTACATGAAATGAGCCAACTCCATTTCTACAGATTCTATTTACAGTTCAAGCACCTCAGGAAAGTGTTCCGGCATGTAAGTCCCCAGACTGCATCGGTGTCTTCTAAACTTCTTTCAGTCCTGAAACTACATCCCAGGGATAATGGCTGCAGTGGAATTATTGCCATTCCCAAGGATGTGGCCATCCTT